AGACCCTGATATCAGCTCCTCATTTCTCCCCCTCCCTACTTTGCCCTCCCTCCCTCATGAACCCTTGATAATTTATAAGTTATTATTTTCAAAAGAATAAAGTTGGAATTTAGACCAGAATTGTGATGTATTTATACATTGTTGTGAGTTTTATTGGCATTTTCATAATATTAAGTCTCCCTATCCATGACCATGGGATATTCTTCCATATGTGTAGGTCTCTCTTGTGTTTTTTTTTGTGATCATATTTTGTAATATTTTATGTAAAGGTCTTTTATTTCTTTGGTTGGGTTGATTCTTAAGTATTCCATCTTTTGTGTGGCTATTTTTTTTCTTTGATATCTTTTTCAGAGTGCTCTTCATGGGTACACATGCATGAGTCCATTTGAATTCTGATGGTTAATGTTGTATATTGTTACTTTACTAAATCTCTCCATGATTTCTAACAGTTTTTTTGAGTCTCTGAGATTTTCCACATATAACACCATATCATCTGCAAATAGTGAGTTTCATTTCTTCTTCCCCCATTTGTATTATTTTGATTGATTTTTGTTATATAATCATTCTAACTAAGACTTCCAGCATTATTTTGAACAATAGAGTGATGAGGGGGTTGCCGTTTTCTGGTTCTCATTCTCAGGTGAAATGTTTTCAGTTTTCTCCATTAAATGTGATGCTGAGCATTGGTTTTCATATGTGGCCTTTATTATGCAGAGGAATCTCCCTTCCATTCTTAATTGATACCTTTGAATTATAATGTGGGAGAGAAAAATTGACTGTACAATGGCCTGTCAGAAGAATGAACAAGACTGTCTTGGAGGAATTGCAGCAAGAATGTTATTTAGATTAGGGATGGCAAAACTTCATCTCATTTACTTCGGATATGTCAGCCGGAGCAGCCAGTCCCTGGAGAAGAAATCATACTTGGCAAAGTAGAGGATCATGGAAAAAGAGGATGAGTCTCAACAAGATATATTCCACAGTGAAAACAATACTTTCAAACAACAATTGGGAGGGTCGTACGGGACTCAGTAGTGTTTCCTTGTGTTGTCGATAGGGTTTCTCTGAGCAGAACGGACGTGGTGGAAACTAACAGCAGCAACACAAGGATAATTTCTATTATAAACAAGGAACTTCATCATCTCATGTACATTTTTTCCTTTTTAACATCGAAAAAACTCTTATGAGGAATCATAAAGTTAATCTCCAGTTGAAAGGAACACTTCGAATTTGTTGTGGATGAAGTGTGTCTAAAACTTCATGATGTAAGTTTGCAATGACCTTTAAGAGCAATTGTGCACAAAATGGACAACTAGGAAAAGAGTGTTGCTTTAGTTATGTTCACTCATTTGCAGATTGATTGTTTCCTTCCTTCCTTTTTTATTCATTCATTCTCCTACCTTTTCCATGTTTCCACATTGAAGGCCCATTATGTAATAGATTTTTTTCTTCACTAACATAATTTGTCAAAGTAACACATAAATTAATGAATAAATAGCAGCTACTAGCGTTGGTAGTTATGTGAAAACTATTGTTTGATTACTTACCAATATAACTGATTATGCTGCCAGGCCCCATCTGTCATAGGAGGGTTCGTGTGTTCGTATGTACTATAAGGCTGAACAGGTTAGAACTAGGAAGAAACACTTGATAATCCACTTCCAAAAATATACCAAAGGAAACCCTAGGACTAACAATAATTTAATATGTAGCTGATCAAGGGGAGCACACAAGATGGAGCGGGATTTTGTTCATTTTTCCATGGGATCACCATGAGTCAAGACCAACTGCACAGTAGCTAACAACAATAATACCTATGCT